CTTGGGTTGTTACCAACATCTGGTGAAAATTTCATGTCATTAGCACCTCTAGTAATATATTTACTGAGAAAAATGGTGACGTGTTCAATACTTATTTTATCCGCTGTAGATTTCAAAACTATATGGGGGCGGGGTCATTAATAGAGTGACTGAATATCACAAAAACCTGACCCACGGACAACACATTTTATACAAGTGTGGGGTATGTCAAAGTTCATGATTTTATCTCTGAAAGTTCATTTTCAATCATTTAAAAAATTTGTATCATTTTCTTATTGCCTTAAGTCTTAAGTGTCATACACAAAAAGATACAACTCAACCAATTTTACATATATTAAGCTAAAACTAGGTGTGGTGGTAGCTGGGAGCAACAACATGTAATTGATGCTGCGAGATCACAGATATTCTCAACACAAAATAATCTTAGTTTTAAGTCCTGTCATTAAAAGGCACACACACACAGCTGAACATAGAATAAGAGCTAAAAAAGGAATAAAGCTAAGATTCTAATAAACAGACAGGTGGCAGGACGTACCTGAGCTGTGCTGAGGAGCTGATTACTGGATGCAGAACAGGTGTGTTAGTTACTGACTGCAGACAGCTGGAGACATCACTGACAGGAAGCATGGTCGAAATCTACAAAACCAAATCAATCTAAAAAATACTCAGAACTCAAGATTATGTAAAAATAACACTGGTGCTGGGTGGGGGGAATTAAATGGGAAAAACGCAAAAAAAAACCTTTGAACGTGAACACAGAACTGCTCCAGTGAGAGCTGAAGACCACCACACGTTGACACCAACACATCATCTGCAAACGGCAGAACAGAGCTTCTGGTGGCACCGCTTSTACAAGACTGAATGACCCGAAACAATGGACCCCCAGTCCCATTCTCAAATAGCTGATAAGTGATTAGCTTCTGGGGTACATTTAATTGAAGATGGCCTCCACAGCGCTTCAAATATAAAAAAGAGCCTAACTTCCCTCTTACAGACCCTGAGCTACAGTGAGTAGCTGACAGTTAATTCACAACACATTTTTTTTTGTTTAAAAGCTTGGAACAAAACGTGGCAAATCAGATACTTTCCTTTGAGAAGTGTGGCCATTCTTAGATTTTTTTTCTCCAGTGTTCATTTTGGTAATTAGTCGTTAGGTTTTTGGATCATTTAAATACAACAGTTTTAACCTAAATATGAATATTACTAGAATATTTGTTTTATAACTCKGTATCAGGATGGTTCGGTGACCGGACTGATGGAGAACGCTGCTCTTGCTTTGAACCCAGCCATGTTGTTATTGTGAGGGTCACTTCTTACAATCACCTGCACACATGAAACAACAAGAAGAAAAAGCTCCTGTGGTTTTTTTTTTTTCTAGAAGTCTTGCTGAGACTTTGCAGCAGAAGCACTTCAGCTCTGTGCAGGTTGGGATGTAGAAAAACAGTTTCCTGTTCACTCTGAAATCCTGCATCTTAGATTTGTTTGGATTGTTTTGTTTTTGTCACCAGATTTGCATCTGCTGTATGAAGCATCATCTACAAGGTGCAAATTACAGGTTTATGTTAGTTTCCTCAGAAATTCTCTGTAAAATTCAGTCTCAACCCTCTAAAACATTTGGTCTATATTTAGCAGTGCATTCAGCCTCGTCACAAGTTGTTTACTCTCATTAAATGTCCTCTGAGAAAATCTTTTACCATTTAGGTTTAAAGTATTTATGGTATATTTTTGTTTTGTTTGAGTGGCAGCTTGTATTTAATAAAACATCTGTCACCAAGTTGTTTATCAAGGCTCCCATCAGATTTTACAGCTTTATGTCTGCTTGTGCTTCAGCTGCATTTAAATCACGTAAAGTTGTTATAAAAACTTCCTGCCTGATGAAAAAAAAAAAAACACGGTTCACTAAAAACTACTTTGCTTTTAAAACATCTGTTTGTTCTCAGTAACTTATCTGTAATGTTTTAGCTAAAGTTGAAGAATTACTTACCCGATCGCCGAACAGTTATCTGTTAACAGAACATGAAGACTTGTTAAAAATCATTTTTTAAATACTAGCTAGAAGCTAGAAAAAATGGTAATAGAAAAAGTAGCATAACAGTAGCAAAAAAAAGCTAAAACTAGGAAATAATTAAGTAAAACCTAAAAGTAACGTAAGACAAAAACAGCAAACGTAGAAAAAAATGCTAGCTAAAAGTCAAAAGGCTACACAAAAGTAGTTAAAGGCTAGAGAACAGCTAAAACTAAGAAAAGAAAATGCCGAAAAAACAAGCAAAAAATTAATAAAAAAAACTACAAGCTAAAAGTAACATAGTTTTAGCCAATCTATACTCATGAGTAGTAGCTGAATAATTACATCAGTACATTTTACCAAACAATAAGCAAATGCAGCAAAACATTACAGTAACCCATCAAAAATAATATTTTATCAGTTGAAATTCTTGAAATTTTATGAATTGGTTGATTATAATATTTTAAAAATGTATTACCATTAAATATCCAATTAAATGTTGTTAAGAGAGTCAGTAATTATGATCTCAAGGGTATAGAGATGCTTGTAAAGTCTAAAATTTGGACAAATTTGAAGGAGCGATGTACTTCAGTACAAGAACTAAGACTGTGGAATAATCTGGAAAGTGATTATAAAAATGCTGGCTCAATAAATTTGTTTAAGAGAATGTCAAATGCTGGATTGTTGAAGAAATATGAATTTGTATAACGTGCATTTGTCTGAACTGTTGTTCGAGAAGGAGTTTGAGGTTTTTGTTGTCTTTTTACTATTTGAAGATTATAATTGTTTGAATTTATTTTTAATTTTTGGAAAAAATGGGCAGATGTTAAGATTTTTTCTTCTTTCTGCTACCCTTCATTTAATTTGTGATTTGTATTATTTGTTGTATGTAAAGTATTTGTTTTGTTTTTTACTAAACTAAAAAACTAAAACCTATAAGTAGCTTAACAGTAGCCAAAAGCTAAAAATATCAAATGACAAAAATAAATAAAATGTTAGCTAAAAATAACAAAAAATACTCTAAAAACTAGATTAAAGTTAAATAGCTAAAGGCTAGCTAAAATATTAAGCTAAAAGTACCAAAGTGGGATCTAGTAGAAAGGAGGAACAAAAGATTTCAAAAGTAGCAAAATGTCAGCAAAATGCTAGTTGTCACATAAACAACAAATACAGCAAACATAACAAAATGCTATCTAAAAGCACAAACGAGTCTTTTAAAGTKAGTTTTCAGTTTTGGGTGCTGGTTTGGTTTCACAGCTCTGAACAGCGCTGGAGTGATGGTGGGGAATGTTGTGGGGTCCACGCTCCTCATCTTCATCTTCCTCATCTTCATCGTTGTTTTTCACTGGAAGGTGAGGAGCAGACGTCGCTACGAGAAGGAGTTCTGCAACGAGATCAGGTGAAGCTCTGCTGCTGCCACACACACTCAGCAAAACACTGACGTTCTCCTTTAACAGCTTTAATTATAATATAATATAATATAATATAATATAATATAATATAATATAATAATTTGCTCCTTTAAATATCAGCTGAAGAGCAACTCTCTGGCTGCTGGTTTGCTTTAGTTTGGTTGGATAAAGACTGAACATTACGTGCATTTTAAATCTACACTGAAATAAGGGATATTTTAGCTTTTATAGTTTAAAAAATGTGGATAGAATCAACAACAAAACTTTGAAGGGTAAAACTGTAATTAAAAGCTGAGAAACAAACATCAGAGCTGCTCAGAAACAGAAATGCCCGTCCGGTAATTAGAGCTGAGCAGAAAGCAGAAAAATGCAGACTGAAGGAAAAGATGGATTATGTARGACTCAAGAAAACAAGTCTGGACTTTTAATCTTAAAAAAAATAAACATTGATAAAAGTCCAAAGGAGATTTTTCTGACTTTCTTCAGATGCAGCTGAAGTTCAGAGAGCCAGAGGAGGATTACGTTCCTGTTTATAATAACGTTGAACTAAAAAATGGCTGCACTGTTTTACAACTCCTCAATACAACGAGCTTTTTAAATCATAAAATATAAAAAGTTCTCAGTTTGCAGACAATTACATATATTGTTTCCAATACAATTCGACTCAGTTTACTGCCAGCTTTGGAGAAAGAATTGTAATTAAAACATAAAGAAAACACGTTGAATCTTTTTGTTTTTTCCCTCTGGCTGTCTGGGAAATTGTCGGCCTCCGAAGTGTCGACAAACTACTCGAGGGATGGAGGTTCTGCCTGAAATATCAGACTTAAATCAAACTGTTCCATTAAATTCTGAATGTGAAAGCACTTTTAAAATCCCCCGCAGAGCAATAAGGCGGCGTTCCCCGGTGCTCAGAGCTAATTGGGAACTAAGCTGCAGATTTCTCCTCTTTCTTCTCGTCTTTCACCTGATCTCCCTCCTCTGAGTCAGCATGTGCTGCGAGTCGACCGGGGAAAGGTGGAACGCCTCCTTCTGGGTCGTGGCTGAGCCTTTGAGGAGTTCAAATATCTGGCAGAGTTGGACCAACAGATTTAAGGTGTCGTCTGCAGTAATGAGGATGTTGCTCCAGTCTGTCCTGGGGGAAAAAAAGGAGGTCAGGCTGAAGACAGTGAAGCTCTAAATTAACTGGTTCATATACGTTCATCAGCATCATTAGTGATGAACAAAATGTCTCCATAAATGTTTTTAAAATGTTCACTTCCTGACTGAAGACTTTGTCTACTTTGTGTTCTACACTGGTTAAGATTTATTCTGGGTCTTTTTGACTGCATGTTTGTCAAAACACATCGTCAGGTTTCTTAAATCAAGCCAAGTTCAAAGCCTCCCAAGGAGGTGTTTTTACAGTATCTGTCTCATCATGTTTGATTTTTCTGAAGTCTTTCCCAGTCAGAACTGATCTAAATAAAAGAAGCCAGCAGGAAATGAGATCATTTCCCTTTTTATGTAGATCAAAGAACCATCAAAAACAAACTTTTTGAGGAATCTATATTATTTGGCAGCATTTTTTTCTTTAGGCTGAACTTTTTTATCAGACAGGTTTGCTTAAATCAAATGACATCTCAGCTTCAGCCATTTTTTTTTGGATATCAAAAAGGTTAATGTTCAACATGAGTTAAAAATTATTCAATCAGTGTGAAAAATTAATCATTTAAAATATAAATTAGGGATGGGAAACTGGAAGTATGCGGGCCATTTGTGGTCTGCATGTGACTCCTGACCGGCCCACTAATGGGGGCCCAGACTCCAAAAAATAATTTTTTTTTTGAAAAAAAAAAAAACTTCAAAAGACAAGCATATCTTACAATCTGATTGATTTTGTTGTTAAGTAAAATAAATAAAAATTGAACATGTTTTTTTTTTGGGGGGGTGGGGTGGTAGACTGACACGGTAAACCTGTACTTAATCTGCCCAGACATGCTGTCTACCATGTTGGATTTTGAATATATGTTGTAGTGATTTATTATATATAAGTCACTAAAACACGTTGCACAAAGCTAAATATGAGAAGCTTACTGAAGTCACAATTACATAAATAACAGAACCAGAACTACACAGGAGTCTGCACTTAAGGTGTCTTATGTCATTGCACTTCAGTTTGTTAAAGTAAGAGTTTGTTGGCTTCAGATGTTTTGCATTCATATTTGTGACCCATTATACCGAAATGAGGATTAAGTCAAATTTGGTCAAAATGACCTAATTACATTTTCAGATTTCTGGTTTTAAAAGCTACATTTTGATACCTGGATCATCCTGATATCATAAACCGAACCAGAGTTATGCCTTAATTTGTCTTGTTGGTTACGATAATACATTAATATTTGGTCTGAATTCTAATTTTATGTAATTTTCATGAGGCATTTTTCATTTCGTTATGAAGAGAAAATCTCAAATAGTATTAGAATATTGCCATTTCCCAGCTGGAAAGAAACAAAAACTTTGCTAGCTCACAGGGAGTGTCCTGATGCATCTCAGTAATCCAGGTAAAAAATCCAAAAGAAAAAAATTGTATAGGTC